ATTGTACCAATAGGCAACATCATTATAGATGGAGAAGATTGAAGTTGTCCAGAGTTTAATCTAACTTGGATCCACAATCAACATCCTTGGTATCAGCAGTCAAAAAAAGCAAAAGATGACTTGCACTGGGAGAATCTGCTGTTAAGGACCTCACCAAAGTGCTAGAAAACAATGACGCCAGTTTAACGACTAAGGTGCACCTTAGTTACTTCATTTGAAAGTTAGACAATGAGTATTGAAGATAGAAGAAGAATTGCTGCCTTGAAATTGTGGTGTTGGGGAAGATTACTATCTACTGCTGTATGAACATGGGATGCCATAAGAACAAAGAAGTCTTAGATAAAGCAACCATAGTGCTCCTAAGAGGAAAGAACAGTGAAGCTTCATCTCACATACTCTGGAAATGTTAGGAGACGCCACTCTATGGAAAGATGGAGGGTCAGCAAAAGAGAAGAGGATTTTCAACAAGATGGATTGACACAGTGAGCCCAGTATAGCAGAGATGAGAAAGGCATAGAACAAAGAGGGACTCAAATCCCTTGTTCACAGGATTGCTATGAACTGTAGTATAGTAATTATAGTCTATAATTGTAGTCTGCTGTAGACAGCATCTCACAACAACAACAACAACTAGAAAAAGAGGAAGGAGAAGAGCCAAAGATGATATTTGAAGGAGTAATGCTTGTGAATTGTTGGGACTAATAAAAGTTCTGAAATTGGTTAAAAGGCTGGTGATTTCAAAACAGAAATTATAACAAACAAAAATACTCTGGGAATCTACAAGTAGACACATCATAAATCTGTAGAACATCAAAGCAAAGAAATAATCATAAGAATATCTAGGAAAAAATGACACATTTTCTTCAGAGTGCAACGTTAAATCAACATGCAACTCTCCATGGTAGTAATGAAAGCCAGAGGGCAATGGAAGGTTAGCTTCAAATCTGATGGGTAAAACCAAACACTTCTCTCTGGAAAGAAACAAATACCAAAAAAGTATCAAAATATGTTGTTTATTTGTGCCATTGAGTCAGAATTGATCCATAGCCTCCAGCAGGTTTTTAGAGGCATTAAATCCTGCAAGAGGAGATTGCCCATCCTTCTTCCATGGACCAGCTAGTGGATTTGAACCACATGCCTTTGGAATGGCAGTGCAGTTTCCTACCAACTAGGCCACCAGAGTTCCCTACATACAATGAAATTCTATATATGATGAAATTATTTTTAAGAATATATGGGAAATAAAGATATTTCCAAATAGAAACTGAACCACTTTGCCACCAGCAGACCCCTCACTAAATGACACATGCAGTGTGGCAGATTGCACAAAGGGCTTTCTTAGCCACTGGCTTTGACTTTCACCACAGGTCTGCATGAGACTCTGCTAATAATGTGAATGAGAGAAATAGCACTTTTTGAGTGAAAACATGCAAATAAGATGTGTAGACTACTTAGGAAGGTAATGGCCAGTTTTGCTATTTGCCAGGTTGAAATTGAACAGGTTTAGAGTTGAAAAAATAGAATCTCACTACCAGCAAGAAAGAAGCAGCAGAGAATGTGGCACACAACTCTTTGGTCCTGTGCTTCCTGCTTGAGCCAGATTGGAACAGGAACAGAGACCAGAACCACAGCAGCCATGCAGGTCGTGGAGAAATGGAGACTGATGTGAGGCAGAGCTGAGGTGGAACTATTGTTCCAAAGGGTGTTTGTTTAGGCTAACTGGAATTTTGCGGGAGATGCCATAAGTAATAGGACTTGGTAACACTGGCCACATGGTCAGAAGGCCTGTGAGCACATCTGAAAAGCTATGTTGACTGAAGAATTGTGTTCTGTATCCCACCTGAATGATAAGCTCTTACTTCCCTAATAACCTCTTTAATGAGGTGGTCTTTAACGAGTGAGGTCTTTGTGGCCATAGCAAAGGATTATAAAGCCCACTATAAGAGAAGTGAGAGCAAAGGGAGGGACAATTGATGTTAGAATTGATAGAAGTAGGTGTGGGGAGCATGGGACACCTTTGGCCTCATAGGAATTGATTTTGCAATGTTGCTGATGTTGGCCACATTCTTTTTACAATATATTTTAAGCAGAAGGAAAGTGAACATGGAAAGACTGAAATATGAGAAGGGAGCTCTGGGGGCCTCGTGGTAAGAAACTGCACTGCCATCCCAAAGCTGTGAGATTTGAATCCACCAGTCTCTCTAAGTGAGAAGGATGGGCAATCTCCTCCTGTGTGATTTGCTGCCTCTGAGGACTGGTCCCTCCTGGCAACATGCCCAAAATAAATCAGATGAAGCTTCAAAATCCTTGCCTCCAAGGAGCAGCTTGTTTTACTTTCTCCAGGATGAACCTGTTTGTTCTCCTAGCAGTCCACAGTGTGTATTCAATACTCATCTCCAGCACCACCACTCAAAGGCATAAATTCTTCTATCATCTTTAGTCATTGTCCAGCTTTCTGATGCATAGAAAGTAATTGCAAAACCATGGTCTGAGTCAGGCGCACCTTAGTCTCTATACTGAAATTGTGGCTTTTCCGTATTTTGGAGGACTAGTAGAGGGGGAAAATGAAGAAAGATCAACTAGAACACTAGGCAATAAGAATAACAATTATAACAATTAATAAGAAAGTATATGACTATAAAAGGTTTTAAAAATGTGAATATGGCTTAGAAGAAGGTTTGACTTTAGATTTTTATTATTATATGTTATAGATTGAATTTTATTTTCCTCAAAAAGATACATTGAAGTCCTAACTCTTGTATCTGTGAACATGACCTTGTTTGATGATAGGCTTTCTTTGAAAAAGGTATTAGCTATGTTAATGAAATTATACTGGGGTTGGGTGGTCCTAGACCATTCTGAGTGGTGGCTGAGGAAAGCAAAGACAAGATCTCTTAAAAATGCAGGTAACTAGCAGGATACAAGATCAACATACAAAAATCAGTTGCATTTCTCTACAGGACAAAGATAATACAGAGCCGGAACTAAGAAAAACAATACCCTTCACAATAGCTAATCACAAGATTAAATACTTGGAAGTAAATCTAACCAGGAGCACAAAGGATCTATTCAAAGAAAATTACAAAACATTACTACAAGAAACAAAAAGAGACCTTGAGAAGTGGAAGAATATCCCTTGCTCATGGATAGGAAGACTCAATATTGTGAAAATGGCAATACTACCAAAGGCAATTTACACGTTCAATGCAATCCCAATATAAATACCAATCCCATTCTTCAATGAGATGGAAAAGGCAATCTCCAATTTCATTTGGAGTGGAAAGAAGCCTGGAATAAGCAAAATAGGAAAAAAAGAGGAGGCATCTCACTCCCAGATTTCAAATCCTACTACGCTGCCATGGTGGCTAAGAAGCATGGTACTGGTACAATGCAAGACACATAGATCAATGGAATAGAATTGAGAATCCAGAAATCAGCCCATCAGCTGATTTTTGACAAGGAGATGAAATCAGTTAAGTGGGGAAACAACAGCCTTTTAAACAAATGGTGTTGGCAAAATTGGAAAAATATCTACAGAAGACTCAAGCAAGATCCACACCTCACTCCATATACAAAAACCAATTCTAGGTGGATCATAGACCTTGGACTAAAACCAAGGACTATGAACTTCATTAAAGAAAAGCTTGGAAGAACTCTTGAAGTCCTAATTCACAACATAAACAGTCTTCCAAGTATCCTGAAAAATCTACAAACAGGAGAAGATAAAATAGATGAATGGGACCTTCTAAGAATCAAATTCCTATACACATCCAAAAACTTCTCTAACAGGGTAAAAAGGGAAGCCACAAACTGGGAAAAAGTATTTGGTAATGACATGTCAGATAAGGGACTTATAATATCTAGAATTTATAAAATACTTGAGCACCACAAAAAGATAAACAATCCAATTGAAAATTGGGCACAGGATATGAACAGACACTTCACCAAAGAAGACATTCAGATGACCAGTAAGCACATGAAGAAATGTTCAAAATCCCTAGCTCTAAGAGAGATGTAAATCAAAACAACCATGAGATATCATCTCACCCCAGTCAGAATAGCAAAATTTAACAGAACAGCAAGCAACAAATGCTCGAGGAGTTGTGGAGAGACTGGAACCTTTATTCACTGTTGGTGGGAGTATAAAATGGTGCAACCACTGTGGTAGGCGGTATGGCGCTTTCTCAAAAAGTTGCAAATAGAGATCCATTTGACCCAGCAGTTCCTCTACTGGGAATATACTCCAAAGAGACCATAACTGCCACCCAAGCAGATATATGCACACCCATGTTTATCACGGCTTTGTTCACAATAGCAAGGAGTTGGAAACAACCTAAGTGTCCCTCAGCAAATGAATGGATAGAGAAACTGTGGTATATTCACAAAATGGAATACTACACTGCATTGAAAAACAAGGAACTCATGCAATATTATTAAAAATAGATGACCCTGGAGGACATTATGCTGAGTGAAATATCTCAGTCATAAAGGGACAAATACTGCATGGCGCTGCTGTTGTAAAACAGGACATCAGGGTTGGGGAAGACTGAGAAAGATGGGATAAATAATATATACTGCATTGAAACAGATGAGGGAGAAAACTGTTTAAAAGGGATATATGATTAGGTATAATTGTCATGACAAGAGCCCAGAATGAGGGCTGCATAGTGGAGTGGACTTGACGGAAGTGATTGTATAACAATGAAAGAATTTTTCGTTCACTTATCAAAGAGAAGAGCTAATTGGGGGGAGAGTGGGGTAGGCAGGGAGCAAAGTTTAACAATGAATGAATGAATGGAAACTTTCATTAAAATGAATAATAATAAAGAAATTTTAAAAAAGAAAACTAAAACACAACACCAAAAAAAAAAAAAAACACCAATAGGAAAGACCAGAGAGGGGGAAATGCAGGTAACATTAATTTTCTGTGAATTGGCATGGATGCTTAAACTGTTACGGTTCTCTCTTTCTTTTCCCACTGTATGACTCTTGTTTTTTAGGGTAGGAAGGCGGCGTACCCTGTGGTGCACAAGCGTTGGCCAGTTTTTGTTTGGCATAGCAGTGGCGTTCACTTTTGATTACTACAGCTTCATGGTCACACGCTTTCTCCTTGCCATGGTGAGCCTCATTTCTTACTTCTTTAACTGCACAGCATTTCCATATTTCGGTTTACTCATTTAAGATCTAGTGAAAGAGGACAAGGACTAACCTTGGGTCCCTTCACTGTTGATGCCTTTCTGTGGGTTATTAAAATAAAGTCTTATGTCTCAAATGGAGCTCATTAAAGTAAATCTTTAAAAAGACTGATGCTTACTAGGCTGTAAAGTTTTTTGACTCAACACCTGGCACACGACCGACTTCTCATTGTTGCTGTGTACTGTTTAGTCAGAAGTGACTCATAACTGACCCTCCAGTGGGTTTTCAGAGGCAGTTAAACTCACAGGAGGAGACTGCACATCCTTCTCCAGCAGAGCAGCTGCCGGGTGGATTCAAACCCAGTGTCACTGGGATTACATCTCAGCTTCTTACTTCTCATAATCATAGGACAAGGTTTTGTTTCTGACAGTCATATGGGTCTTGTCAGAGTGTTAAGATGCAGACAGGTTCATTTTTTTCATGCTGATTTGTCTACAGAGGGTAATACTAAGTATTAGTAATAAATCCAGGGTTTGCTCTGATAACTTTATCATCTAGGCACAGTTATCAAATCTCCCACAACTCGTAGCGACCCTATGTACAATAGCTCTCAACCCTGCCCCTGCCCCTGCCCCATCCTGAGTCAATCTCACTAACTCCAACACACCTGCTCTAGTCATAAAGACAGAGGAAAAAGGAAAAGCCAAGATGAATGTCAGAAAAGGCTACAAAAGTTATGCTACAACATCAAGAAGCCAAAACAAATTGAAGAGATGCCAAGGTAAAAGAGCTGAACAGAAGATTTCAAAGGGCAGCTTGAGAAGACAAAGCAAAATATTATAACAAAACATGCAAGGAGCTGGAGTCAGAATAAGAAGGAAAGAACTCACTAGGCATTTTTCAGCCTGAAAGAACTGAAAATAAATTCAAGCCTCAAGCTGCAATACTGAGAGATGCTATGGACAAAGGGCATCATAGCTCCTCCATCAACAGGGAGCTGCCAGGAATTCAAGCTGGATTCAGAAAATGCTGTAGAAATTATTGAAGGTTGTAGGGTAACTCTGAGAAGAATGGGAATCCCAGAACATTTGATTGTGCCTATGTGAAACCTATACTTTGACTAGGAGGCAGTTGTCAGAACAAACCAAGGAAACACTGCATGGTTCAAAATTGGGAAGGATGTATGCCAGGGATGCATCCTATCTCCATACCTTTTCCGTATATATGCAGATTGGATCATCCAACTGAAGGAAGACTCATCAACAACCTGTGTCATACAGATGACACAACACTGCTTACTGAAACTGAGAAGGACCTGAAGCACTTGCTGCAGAAGGTCAAGGACTGCAGCCTTCATACAGATTGAAGCTCAACATCAAGAAAACAAAGATTCTCAGCACTGGTATGATTGGCAGCATGATGATAGACAGTGAAGAGATTGAGATTATTAACAGCTTTAGTTTGCTTGGCTTCACAATCAACACTCTTGGTACTAGCAGCCGGAGCATCTCCAGAGTACTGAAGAGCAATGATGTCAGTCTGGAGACTAAGGTGTGCCTGATTCAGGTTGTAATCTTTGCAATTACTTACTTGCTGTATGTCAGAAAGCTGGACAATGACTAGCGATAATAGAAAGATAATTTATGCCTTTAGGCTGTGGTGCTGGAGAAGAGTATTGAATATACTATGGACTGCTAGGAGTAGGTTCATCCTTAAGAAAGTGAAACCAAGTTGCTCCTTGGAGGCAAGGATTCTGAAGGTTCATCTGGCATACTTTGGGCATGTTGCAAGGAGGGACCAGTCCTTGGAGAGAGATGTAATGCTTGGAAGGATGGAGTGACAGCATAAGAGAGGAAGACTCTCGATGAGATGGATTGATTCAGGGACTAGGGTAATGAAGGAAGGTGTGTCAGAGACAATAGGGTTGGCACAGGATAGAATAGGGTTCAGAGCTTTTGTACATATTGTCACTGAGAGTTACAAACAACTTGACAGCATCTAGTAACACCAACAACAGTCTTTGATCTTCTGCAGTAAGTGCTTTCAGTCCTTTTATCTTTCTGTCCTCAAAGTTGTGACATCATCTCCATAGTTTAAGTTATTGATAAGTCTTCCTTCAATCTGGAGGCTAAAAATACCTAGACCAGCACATTGATGGGAACTGCCAGAAGTTCAAGAGGGTTTAGAAGAGGCCACTGCACAAGGAATATCATCACAGATGGATCCTGGCTGAAAGCAGAGAATACTAGAAGAATGCCTATTTTTGTTTTATTGACTATGCAAAGACGTTTGACTGTGTGGATCATAACAAACTATGGCTAATGTGGAGAAGACTGGGAATCCAAGAACACACCACTTAATTGTGCTTATATGTTTGCTGGGAAAATAATTTGTTAAGCTGTACTCTATGAAGAGGAATGTGGCAAAAGCATAGGAGGAAGGCTCATCAACAACCTCGATTATGCAGATGACACACCTTGCTTACTGAAAGTGAGGAGGACTTGAATATGCAGAAGATCAAGGGCTACAGCTTTCCTGGATTACATTTCAACATCAAGAACACAAAGGTCCTCACCACTGGGCTAATAGACAGTGTCATTCATAGGGTCACATGAATTGTACTTGGTTTGATGCCACCTAACAACAACATTGTTGTTGTTGTTGTTGTTGTTGATTGCCTTTGAATCGAGCACAACTCTAAGTGACCCTATGAACAAAAGGCCTGACGCCTTTCTATAACTATTGACATTTATCCAAGTTCATAGAGTTTCTGTAGGCATGTTGTTTAGGAAGTGGATGTTACACTATCATATAGATAAATTGGCATACATGTTTACAAAGAACCAATAAAAACATTCACATTATATTGGAACTTTAACATGAATCAATAGGCAGGATGTAATGTGTCTATCATAAATAATCTTTCAAATTTTGCCCCTAGGAGTGGAAAGAATGAGGGAAGATGCAAGGGCCCATTTGATAAAGAAAGAGGAACCAGACTGAATGCCATTTTGTACGTTTGACAATGAGTTTCAAATAGTGTTTTCTTCCTTTTGCCTATGTCTGATTTGTAGGAACAATCTTTTTTATTGCTATTGAGTCTGAACTGACAGTTGACTCTATAAAGGGTTTTCAAGGATGTAAATTGCACAAGAGGAAGTTGCCTGTTTTTCTCCTGAATCGCCACTGTGGATTTTAAACCACTGGTGGAAGCATATTAATTGCTCCGAGTGTAGCCTTAAACCCATACCACTCCATTTTGTTTTTCAGGCTGCAAGTGGCTATCTTGTGGTGGTGTTTGTCTATGTGACAGAATTCATTGGCATGAGATCTCGGACATGGGCATCCATCCACGTGCATTCCTTCTTTGCTGTGGGTATAATGGTGGTGGCTTTAACCGGCTACTTGGTCAGGACCTGGTGGCTCTACCAAATTGTCCTCTCCACAGTGACTGTCCCCTTCGTTCTGTGCTGTTGGTTGCTCCCGGAGACACCTTTCTGGCTTCTCTCAGAGGGAAGATATGAAGAAGCACAGAAAGTAGTTGATACCATGGCCAAATGGAACAGAACAAGCTCCTGTAAACTGTCGGAACTGCTGTCACTGGATCAACATGATCCTGTTGTAGGCAAACCCTCTGAAGTAAAGAAGCACAGTGTACGAGAGCTGTTTTATGATTGGAATATTGCAATAAGAACCCTTACTGTCTGGCTGATTTGGTTCACAGGGAGTTTGGGATTCTACTCATTCTCCTTGAATTCAGTTAATTTAGGTGGCAATGAATATCTAAACCTCTTTCTCATGGGTAAGTTCTAAAGTATACTTAAATGTAACAATGGAATAGAATTTCTGTGACCACAAAATGGAATTTTATTTTGTTTTTTAAATTCTCTACAAAGGAAAGAAAATAATATGTATAATATAACCATATATTATTATGAGATCTTTCAGTATTATTATTTTGCAACACACACACATATATATTTTCTTTTAAAATAATGCAAGCAATCCAGTAGGATCTTGTTCTCCTCCCTCCTTCTTGTCTCCTCTCTTTGCTTGCGTCCTTCCGTCTGACCCACCCTCACCCCAGGATTATGACACTAGGGCTCTGTCACAGATCTCATCAAGCCATAATCAAGTGTAGGCAGATACCTGCATCAGTTTTGCCCTTGATCTCTAACTGAAAGATTGTCAACTTGAACCCACTTGGCAATGCATGTGGTTGCCATGAGTTGGAACTTACTTGATGACAATGACATTGGTTTTTCTCAACACTCAATAACAGGTGAAGTAGAAATTTTTAATCAACCCAACAACAGAGAGCTTCATGGGGATCACTGTTAATTTAATCTGAAAAAGTTCTTGAAACACTTTAAGATTAAAGAGTTGAACACAGGAATAAATACATATTTTGTCCTGGACTGCAACCGTGGGCTTCACATAGGGTCTATCTTCTCCTGTAAACTGCTAGAGGGAGCTCTGGTGGCAGAAGCAGCACTGCACTCGCAAAGGCACGTGGTTAGAGGCCACAGCTGCTCCTCAGGAGAAGGATGGCCAATCTCCTCCCATGTAATTAAGGGCCTCTGAAAATCTGCCAGAGGGTCAGCTATGGATTGATTCTGACTCCATGGTATATGACAACAACAACATTATATATCTTACCAGATGCTTATCTCTCTACCTTAATTCTGCCAAGTGTTATTGAATGGCATTGAGTTGATCCCAATTTAGAGTGATCACATAGTGACAGAGTAAAAATAAACCCATATCTTGAATATAATGTTTATGGAAGCAGATTTATAATATTTAAATTAGGGATAAGTGATGCTGTCTTAACTACTTTATCCAACAAACTTGCTGACTAGGTGTGGTGTTATGTCCCAGGAAGCTTACAGTGAGGCATGAGAACAAGTGCTAAGTGCCTGGTAGAATATGAAGCATTCACGTTTTCCACAGGAAAAGGTGCACATTCCAGTAATTTTAAAGTAGTACAGACAGCCTTTGTATAGCTGTGAGAGGCCCCTCTCTGCTGCAGGAAGAGAACTGATTATTCCTTTTGGATGATAAATGAGAAGATAGATCCCCTGTGTGCTGGGTCACCACCCAATAGAAGGTCCTTGGGCAGCATGAGAACTCACCCAGCTGTGCTGCAGGGAAGATTTGGCAATCTGCTTACATAAATATTACAGCTAATGCTTCATGCACACATATATGTACACCCATGTTCATTGCAGCATTATTCACAATGTAAAGAAATGGAAACAGTTCAAGTACCCATAAATGAAAATGGATAGTAAAACTATAGTACATTTACACAGTGGAGTACTATGCAACGTTGAAAAATGATGAAGAATTCATGAAACACCACATGACATAGATGAGGCTAGAGGACATCATGCTGAGTGAAATAAGTTAGTCACAAAAGGACAAATATTTTTATAACTTTTATAAAAAGCTAAAGATAAGTTTATGGTTTACAAGATAGAGGAGATAGAAGGGAGTAGAAAATGAATTAACAGACAATAAATATTTATTAAGATGGATGAAACCAGAAATATGTTTACTTTTGTTTCATTTATTAAATGAAGACATTTAACTGTGTGAATTCTAACAAATTATGCATTATATGAGAAAAACAGTTATCCTAGAATACATAATTATGCTTGTGGGAAACCTACTTGTAGGCCAAGAAACAGTTGTCCAGACTGAACAAGGGAACACTGACTGCATGGATTAAAATCAGAAAAGCTGTGCATCAGGGTTGCATCCTTTATCCATACTTATTCAGTCTATATGCTGAGCAAATCATTTGAGAAAAGGGACTATCTGAAGAAGAATGCAGCATCAGTATTGAAGGAAGAGCCATTCACAACCTCCATTATATGGATGACACAATCTTGTCTGCAGAAATGGAGAAGACTTAAAGCACTAACTGAAGAAGATCAAAACCTTTGATACAGGTTACATCTCACCATCAAG